TCCAGCTTTAACATCGGTATCGATATCGGTTATCGGCTACATGAGTTTTAAAATATCGGCATATCGGATATCGGCCAAAATCCCAATATCCCGCATCCCTAGCAGAAATGCTACGTTCAGACCTCAAGCAGCAGCAAAAACGCGGAAAAACGATGCTGCGCCTTGATGCGCGTCAACCATTGACTTTGCATGGAAACTAGCTGCCTCTGCTGCTCGCAGTCTGAACGTATACGTAATGTTATGGAGCCTTTTTGTTCCATTATTGATGCAAACAAAGAACGCGTTTTGGAAATAGAAATTTTAAACTTCCTTAATCAAAATCAGCTTTTATGAGCAATTCTGCGTTTTATCGGTTATCGGCTACATGAGTTTTAAAATATCGGCATATTGGCCAAAATCCCAATATCGTGCATCCCTATCTCAAACCTCATCCTGTCAAGGATAAAGTGTGAAAAATGCTTCCCTCCCCCCAATGTGGCAGAATATAAGGGAACAGCCTACGGGTTGGAGCCACAAGAACACGCCAAAGGCAGTGTTCTGCGGCTCGCATGGCCTCAGTAAACCGTTGCCCCGTATGTGACGAACGGTTTGTACTGAAACTGAAATCTTGATTACAGTGTAAATTGTAGTTGACAAAGAAATTGATTGATTGATTGATTGATTGACAGCACAGAAACAGAAGTGAAAAATAATCTGCTCATCCTGCGTAGCCGTAGTCGCAGTCAGTGTCACATGGAAAAGAAATCGGGCGCAGCCGGTGTGTTCAGGCCTTTACGGCGATGAGGATGAGGATGGTACCTGATGATGGGGGTGATGTGCTCAGATGGGATGAAATTGTAGTGTTTCCAAATGCGTCGAAGTTGGCAAAGTTGGTGTTTGAGTTACCCTGAGGTGCTGCAGCCGCAACATGGGGAGAAACCATAAGATGGGAAAACGTGCAAATGAAAAAAACAAAAAAAAAAAAACTGTGAAGGTGGGGGGGGGGAGCTCAGTCGAACACAAGCTTACCTGACTGGCTTGGAAAATGTGCAAAATTGGCAAAGTTGGTGTGGGGGGCAGCCTGAGTTGGAGGAGCGGCAAAAATGTCCCCCCCCAGGTCTGAGAGCAGGTCGAACTTCTTCTCCTGGGCGGCGCTGTGATGCTGGGAGCGTCTGATCCCCGGAGACTGAAACATGGAGACTGAGGAGGTGAGGAGGCGTCTGCTGGTGGGCGGGACTTCCACCCTCAGCGTGTTCCTACCTACCTGCCGCAGCGGCGTTTTGTTGAGCTGCAGGGTTTTCAGGGGCTGGACCTCCGGGGTGCTGCCGGTGCTGCTCGCCGAGGAGCCGGACACGGAGGCCTGGACGCTCGCCACGGCCCGCGCCTGGTCCGGGGGAACGTACCTGAGCGTTCAGCGTCAGGAGAGACCGCTTTAGTCTTAAGACTTTTTAAATTTGATTCCAGCACCTCGTTAAAACCACCAACCAAACCGAAAGCTTGTTTTCCCTTTTATAATGAATCCCTCCGCTTTATGGGGTGAATTTTGTTCCATTATTTTTGCAAGCATGTTTTGTAACTAAAATAAAAAAAAAAAAACTATTAACTTTTAAACCTTTAATAAAAAAAAATTTTTT